AGAACATGATGGTCGTCTTTCAAATAATCTTCAGCCGCCTATTCGCGTTGTACGTAGAAATACGTATGCCTAAGAGGCCACTGATGATGCATTCGGGCCAGCCCATTTAATCCTTCTTTTATTGGTAAACTCCGTACACAATACTCCCTCCGGTCCTTTTTACTCTGTATATTAGGTTTGACCGAAGTCAATCTCATTTAACTTTGACCAAATTTGTACAAAAAATTATAGACATTCACATAACAACACTAATATCATTAGATTCATCTTGGAATATATTTTCATATTATATTTATTACATATTATAGATACTAATAATTTCTAATATAAACTTAGTCAAACTTAGCAAAGTTTGACTTTCGGCAAATCCAATGTGCAGAGTAAAAAGGACCGGAGGGAGTACAATAAACAAGAGGGACATGTGGGAGCAACTAGTTAACGAGCGCTCCTTCGGGAGCATCGCAACGATCAGCCCATTTGGCGTGCTCTCAGTCATTTGCCACGTGTCGCGCTCTGGACGCTCCCTTCGAATTTTGTTTTTCTTATTTTTCCGCATGCGTTTTTGGTTTTTTAAACGGTTTTTTTGACGTTTTGGTTTCCCCCCGGTCTTCCTTAGCTCTTCGATCCAAAAAATAAATTCAAATTTTCTTTTTGCGTGAACACATTTTCTTTTTTTTTCTTTAGCGGAAGTCACTATTTTTTTCGCGAGAGGCACGGTTGTGCTTTAGCGAGAGTCACGGCCATGCCTTTCTGTAACGGAAAAAAAAACATGTTTTCTGTTTTTTTCTTTCGCGAGTTACGGTTTTGCTTCCGTGAGAGGTACGGTTGTGCTTTCGCGAGAGTCACGTCCGTGCCTCTCGGAAAGGGAAAAAAAACGCGTTTTCTGTTTTTTTTCTTTCGCGAGAGTCACGGTTTTGATTCCGCGAGGGGCACGGTTGTGCTTTCGCAAGAGTCATGGCCGTGCCTCTCAGAAAGGGAAAAAAGATACGCGTTTTCTGTTTTTTCTTTCGCGAGAGTCACGGTTTTGCTTCCGTGAGAGGCACGGTTGTGCTTCGCGAGAGTCACGGCCGTGCCTCTCGAAAACGAAAAAAAACGTGTTTTTTGTTTTTTCCTTCCACAAGAGTCATGGTTTTGCTTCCACGAGAGACACGGCGTGATTTCGCGAGAGGCACAGGCGTGCCTCTTTCGGAAAGGGAAAAAACCATGCTCCCGATTTCGGTTTTTTCGTCGGTTTTTTTCGTTCGGTTTTTTTCGTAAAAAAAAGTTTATCAGAACTTATCAACATGGGATCTAGTTTTGAAGATCTCGACGCGAGGAATCCAATAATGAAAACGGTTCGAGATTTGGATACACGGTATAAAAGATAAAATGTTTGTACGAAAAAAGGGAAAACTACCAGGTTGCGACAAGTGGCGTGTTGCATGTGCGCCACTTGTCGCGACCTGAGAAAGTGGAGTGTTTTTTTCAACGAGTACTCCTTAATTAGGGCATGTACAATGGTTGATAAGATAGTCTTATCTTAAGTTTTTGCATGTAATTTAGAGATGACAAAGAAAAATGTCTACAATGGGTCATCTCTTAGCCTATCTTCAATAACTAGCAATTCCTAAAAATATGGTGAGACATATTATGCTAAGAAATCATCTCTTGTCTTATCTTAAATAAGAGAAGACAAGCCTTCTCTTATGAGTTCTCTCTCCCCTATCTCATCATTTATCCTACGTGACACTCCTAAGATAGCACCATTATACATACCCTTAGTGATTTCGGGGACATGTTACCACTTTTGTCTGGAGTCCGTTTTTCCTCTTCTTGTACACAACGACGCGGCATGCTTGGGCTGAACCAACAGGACCCGACAGCGTGTTGGGCCATGGCTGCCGCATTTTTTTTCTTATCTACTCCCTCCGTCTTATAATATAAGATGTTTTTGCAAGCTATGTTAGTTTGTAAAAACGTCTTACATTATAAGACGAAGAGAGTATTTTTTTTCCTTTTTTCCTTTCTTCAGCTTAGTTATTTTCTTCATTCACAATTTTCAGGAACTGTTGGGAATTGTCTAGCAATTTTCATAAAATTGTTAAAGTTTTTATCATTTTTCATAAATAATTTGTAATTCCAAAATGGTTGATAAATTAAAAAATAAATGGTTAGAACATAAAAATATGTCCATGTTGATTCATAATTATGGAAATATCATATTTGAAATAACAGAAGCATTGAATTTAAGAAAATTACGTGCTCACGGATGTAGCCGTCTGGGCTAGTCCCGCATCCTACTCTTAACTGGTGTTCTTTTGCACTATGAATAAATGAGCCCAACTTTTTGCAGTAGCGCTTTCATGGACATAATAGGCATTCATGCCTGATTCGAATGACTTATGACACTGTGGGCGCGTTGCGACATGCATGACCATTATATAGGCCGTTATTCACTGAAATAATTCAAAAATATCAAAAACATGTCCTATGGAAGTACCAGTTGGCATGGTGGCATGAAATGGTGATACAAGGTAATGAAAAAAACAGTGTATTTGACGGATGTCGAAAAACGAGGTATCTAACATGGTTGTTTTGTACATGTGAGAATTGCCACCAAGGGTGCATGCCCATGGTAGGAATACATGTCTGATTTGAATGAATTCGTGCACCATTTGCACGTTGCAACACGTCCTGTCATTTATCGGCCTTTTTTCATCGAGAAAACATCAGAAAATAGAAAACTTGTCGAAAACGAAAACAACCTGATATGATGTCATGAATTGGTGATAAAAGGTGATGAAAAAATAGTGCCCATTTAACGTATGCAAAATACCAGGTGTTCACAAATGGACCCTTCTGGCTACCCAAACACCCTCTGTCATACATGGTTTTTGTTGTGCATGTGAGGAATGACCCTGAATTTTTTCACCAAGGGTGTGTGCCCATAGTAGGCAACCATGCCTGGTTTGAATGAATTCGGACACCACTTGCACATTGTGTCATGTTTGGCCATTTATCGAGCATTTTCACCGAGTAAACTCCAGAAAATATAGAACTTGGCAAAAAATAAAACAACTTGACATAGTGACATGAATTAGTGATACAAGGTGATAGAAAAAAAATTAGGGCCATTTGACGGATGTGAAAAAACTGGTGCTCACAAACTGACTCTTCTGACCTACCCAAACATCCTTTGTCTAACATGGTTTTTGCTGGACATGTGAGGAGTGACCACAAATTTTGCCACCAAGGGTGTGTGCCCGTGGTAGGCAATCATGCCTGGTTTGAATGAATTCGAACATCTTTTGCACGTTGTGACTGGTCCAACCATTCATATATTGACCCTTGTTGACTCGAAAGCTCAAAATTTTTTCTGTTTCAAAAGCAAAATAAATATCTTGCACATAGCATAGATTTTAAAACTGACAGTACAATTTATTTATCAACCAAGCGAACTGCACAATGATAGTAATGAAACAATGTAATTCCACATAAACTCCTTTCCTATGTTTGAACAATGGGGACTTCATTTTGTTCTACAAAACAAATACCCCGTTGAACTGGTTGCTACTTGAAAATTTTGTGTTACCATTAGATAAGTAGGTAGCACTTGTAAGTACATTTGTTTCTGGATTCTTCACAATCCGTCATGTTCTTCACTCCAAAATTCTTCACCCGGATAATAACTTAGTTCTGCCCAACTTTTTGGTGTGGGATTGGAAAAGCTTGTAACAAAAGCAGTACACTTTGCTAAAGAGGCACTTCATAGCGACACTGGGAACCAAATTCAGATTGATAGGCAAGGAGCCTTCTTTTTTTTTTTGGCCAAAGGACAGGCAAGCAGCCTTCAATTACTCATGTCCAATATCCAAGTTAGTTAACTCTATAAGCAACATGCCAACTTTCTTTCTGACATCATTCACACTTTTCTGAGTGTATATCATGTGCTGCTTCAATTGAATATATACTTCCCACTGACGATCAAACGATACGGTCTAAAAACGGTTTCTTCACACACATTAACTTTCCCTCCTGCCCGATGTTTCTTTCTTTAAATGTTAATCAAATGAAATAGTCTACAAAGCGTTCCTTGATAAGGGTTCTTTAAATAACAGTTTCCAAAGATTCAGTAAAATTGCTTGTTTGGTCAGATTGTTCTCCAACACAAGGTTTGATCAATGATCACTAACAAAGGTATGCAGTGTTTACTCAGCACTGCACTATCTTCCGCCAAGGTTAATTCATCATGATGTTCATCTACTATTTTCGATAGGAAGTTATTATCAATTCATAGAAATTAAAGCTCGTTTACAACTTTTTTTCCTCTGCACTCTGAGGTGTCCAAATAATTCCATCTTGAACAAGAGAGCCCACATACGTACTAAAAAGAAACAGAGGGCTGACGGAAGAGAAGTACCTCAGCCCTCGGGAAGGTTCTAAAGAATGGCGGGAGACGTAACTCGTGGTTGTTAACCTCAAGAAGACATGGACTTATTTTCATCCAAACTCCAAAGGGTATGAAAAAGTAAACAAAATCAACCTCACATCATATGAATAGCAAATAAGTAGTAATACTTTTACTAGGCCTGTCAACAAGATGTTTATACATCCCACAACTGCAAATAAAAGATCCAAATTTAAAGTTACAATGATATGCACAGGAGACATGCCTTTTTCCAATCATGATGATGATCCTAGAATGTTTGCTTAAATACTATGGAAACCCAACATGTATGGACCATCTGTGTGAAGAGGCAAGAACACAGAGCAGAACGCTCATACAAATTTCGAATAACAACGTAGGAGCATTAGCCAAGTTAGGTCTAGAATAAACCAACTTTGCTCCAAAAACAAAAGCAGGTAGGCATGCAAAGCCCACTGCTACATGGCAAGAAGAATTGACTCCTGTTGAGGATCCACTTGGTATAAAGGCACCAATAACCTATGTGTCATGTGTGCAAAGTTTGTAACTCTGAGAACAATGACACATATGGAAGATATGTCTCCCGAGTGTCCTCTCAAAGAGTGCAGATCTCTTGGACTTGCCGACGATCTATATCATAGGACATCAATGTTTTATCCCACTCAACAGTGTAAAAGATCATGTTACAGTCTGGATGAATTGCAACCCACTCAAACTTTTCTGCAAGATTTATATAACTTACCCATCCAGGTTCATATAAACCATGTGATCCAACTACATGTGAGGCTTCAGCAGTATGCTTCAATGTCCATTCTTGCTTGTCATAGTCCTCAAGAACATAAACCACCAGTCGAACCACCTCGTCTTCATGGTCTGCCTCAAAATTGGCGTAATGCAAACGTCCCTGGGACAGCTGAATGAAACCAAACCACTGCTCACCAGGGACAGGGACAGGTATGTTTCGGCAAACTTCCCCCTCGGTGTCCACCACAACTATAGAAGGCTTGTGGGTGAGATAATGCAGACAGTCGTTGAAAAAGACACCTGGCAACCTATCGGGAAGGCTAAAATCATTATCCAGTTCATGCTCTTTACGAACCCGTTCTCCCGTTTCAGATGAATATACTTCCACTCCAACGACCGAGGGGGCTAGGGGCCCAAAGTCTTTGAAGAACTCAAACACGTAGAAGTGGGGTGCCATGGTTGGATTAAAACCCAGACATGAACACCGCCATTTTTCAGCCTGGTTGTGGTCCGGTAGTGCAACCCACTCCTTTGTGGTAGGATTACACACAAACTGATGGTAATATATCATATCCAATTCCCCGGCAGCACAACAGCTGCAGAGGAGAAGGCCGTTGCAGCTGTCCAAGAGAAAAATGCGTTTGTGGACTGGCAGGAAGTCAAGTGAAGGGGAGACAAACGGGAGGCCTGTGCCAGAGACATTGGTGAAATGGGGGACTGACCACAATACAGTTTCACTATCGTGCTTTGTGAAGAAGCCGGCCAGGGTCTGGGGAAGCTTCATACGGTGAACAGGGTGCGAGATGAGGTCCCGCCATGTCGTGGACACGCACTTGAAGCGGCAGACTGATCTGGCAGGGAGGCGAGAGAGGATCTCAACGACGAGGTCATCAGTGAGGTTGGCCGCCGAGCACCTCCGTCTCTTGGACCTTCTCCCCTTAACCATCCCGAGCAACAAGTTCTGAGAAATGCAAATGGAGAAGAGTATGATATACGAGTGACCAAGAAGAAAGGAGCTAGGTCTGAGATCGAGGATGCTATTTTGCTTATCGTAAACAAGTTTGCATACCATTTGCAGAAGAGTGGTGGTGAGGACCTCCCAACTGGATGGTAGAGCAACTGGAACAGAGGCCACGACCAGCAGGGAAGAAGAAATCACTTGGAGCGAGCGAAGAAGACGCCTATGCTCGACAAGAAGGTCAACTCGACCAGTTGAATGCTTCTTGCTCGCATTGATGGCCCATGGCACTTCCGTGCATCACTATTTGAGGGATACCTGTGCCTTCCTATGCACGATTTGAGCACCAATATGATGACGTGCATATGCACGCTATGCTGGAAAAACAAATGTAGTTTGTAGGTCTAGGCTTCGAAAGAAGTTCATTACTTAACTGAAACGTATGACAGGTGACCTAACAAATAAAACTGGGGGCAATAATGGAGATGGTCAAGAGCATCAATATGATGAGATGCCTTGGTGGAGTAGGAAATAAACTATTTTGAGGGTCAACTCTTTTAAATAAAGAGAAAAGTATATTTTTCGTCCCTCAATTATTGACGGAGTCTAGACTTGATCCCTCAACTTCAAAACCGGACAACTTGCACCCTTAATTTCTAAAACCGGACAAGATTCATCCCTGGTAACGGTTTTGACCGGTTTTGGTGCTGTCCCACCCCGGTTTTGACCGTTCTGACTCAAATTTGGATACCTTTTCCAAGTCCACGTGATGTTTTCAAATTCGGTTATTTTTTCAAATACGTGAACCTTTTTAAAAATTTTGTACTTTTTTTAAATCTGCGTACTTTTTACAAGTTCATGTACTTTTTCAAATATGCGTATTTTTTTAAAGTTCATTTAGTTTAAAATTGATGTACACTTTCAAATTTGAGTACATTTTATTGAAAGAGTTCATGAATTTGAAAATTTTATGCGAACTTGAAAAAAGTACGCGGATATGGACTTCTTTTACGCAAAAATATGTGGATTTCAGAAATTGTTTCATCTTGAAACAAGTATGTGAATTTCAAACAAAGTTCATGGATTATAAATGGAACACGGATTTGAAAAAAAATGCGGACTTTGAAAAGCATGTGGATTTGAAATAAGTATGCGAATTTCAAAAAAAGTTCATGGCTTTGAAAAATACTTGGATTTGATAAAATTACACAAACTTGGGAAAAATACGGGGATTTGGAAAAGGTACGTAAATGTTAAAAAATCACGGATTTGAAAAAAGTATGTGAATTTTAGAATAGTTTGCTGATTTGAAAAAAGTATGTTTATTTTTGAAAAAAATATGTGACCTTGAAAAAACTATGCGGAGTTGAAAAGTGTATGTGGATTTCAAAAAGTTCACGGATATAAAAAAAATACAGGAATATGAGTGAGCACGGGTCAAAACCGGGGTGAGTCAACACCAAAACCGGTCAAAACCGAGTCCGGGGACGAACCTTGTCCGGTTTCGGTAGTTAGAGGTGCAAGTTGTCCGGTTTTGAAGTTGAGGGACCAAATCTAGACTTCACCAAGAGTTGAGGGACAAAAGGTATACTTTTCTCTTAAATAAATAGTGCGCCGTCTTACATTTAAGAATAGAGGTAGTACATTTTTGCTTCAAGTCAAATGAAATCTTCTTTTTAGAAAAAGGAAGATCTAACAAAGCCTGAATGCTAAGATTGGAGTGGAAAACTCTGAATGTATATGTTGATGCATACCTGTTCCCTTTTTCACCATGGAGGTTCGCACTGTTTTCTTATGGAGTAGCTGCTCGGTAGCAAAAGGCCAAAAACAGAAAATCTGGAGTCCTTAGGCTGTCAATGCCCTTTTGAATTCGAAAGAATTCACGGTCCGCGAGAAGGGACCAACCAAAGAATTCTTACCTGGTACAGTGTCCTGGGTCAGTACATCATTCCGTTGACTTTGTTGAATTGTTCTTTTTCCTCACAACTGAAGAGTAAAATTTTCTTTTTTGAAATAAGACTGAATTGAATACGACTTGCTTGCACCAAATGATGCATAGCGCTTTATTCTTGCAACCAACTGCAACTTCTAGCTGTTGTTAGGAGTTGGGCACCATCACAAAAATAAAAGGACCTGACAGTCCGACCCACATTTGTCTTAGAGAAACATGGCTAGGCAAAGGCATCTTCACTATTTTAATCTTGCTGCATCGGTGGACTCGACCAACAAGATACAAGCTTGGAACCAAAACGAATGTATAAGGAGACTGTCAAACATATGTAGCTTAATTTTTCTGGCGTTTTTAGCAAATTGAATTTGAGCAGTGACGCGGGGATTTTACCGCGATTTCTTCAAGTGATAGTCACCAAAGATTCAGTAATATTGGTTGTTTGATTAGATTTTTCTCCACGGCAAGGTTTGATCGATGATCAGTGACAAAGGGATGTAGTTTTCACTCGGCACTGCAGTATGTTCAGCTAAGGTTAATTGATCATAATGTTTTCATTTACTATTTTAGATGGGAGGTTATTTACCAATTCATAAAAATTAAAGCTCATTTATAACATATCTTTTTTTCTTTACACTCCAGGGTGTCCAAAAATTTCATCTTGAACAAGAGTAATACAAAGAAACAGAGGGCTGACGGAACAAAAGTTACCACGGGAAGGTTCTAAACAATGGTGGCAAACTGAGCTCGTGCTCGTTACCTAAGGAAGACATGAACTTGTCTTTATCCAAAGTGTATCGAGAGGCAAAGAAAATCAAGTTCACATCATACGAATAGCAGACAGGTCATAATTTACTAGGTCTGTAAACAAGATGCTTACACATTCCACAGCTGCAAATAGAAGATCCAAATTTAAGTTACAAGGATAAGCATAGGAGACATGCCTTTTTCCAATGATCATCCTAGAATGTTGGCTTAAATACTATGGAAACTTTGCTTTATTTAAAAAGCGGGGCGAAAGCCTTTTTCGGTAATACTGTGGAAATCCAACATGTGGATCTACTGTCCTGACAAACCATTTCTGTGAAGAGGCAAGTACATAAAGCAGGTAGTTCATTCCAATTTCGAATAGCAACATAGGAGCAATAACCAAGTTAGCTCTGAAAGATAATGAGCGATCCCTTAACTCCCTCGATGAGGAGCGGGTCGTATATATTGAGATCGGGGCAAGCCTGCCTTGGCATACAAGGAAAGAGTTACAAGAGTTGGAGAAGGATACGAGAGGGGGAAAGTCGGTTGAGATTATACACGTTTTCTCTAACACCCTCCTTAATCTCAACTATCCTAAATTAAGATTATTCTTGAACTCTTCAAATGGTCTTGCTGAAAGTGCCTTTGTGAAGCCATCTGCTACTTGGTCCTTGGAGGGAATAAATCGTATCTCAAGTTTCTTTGCGGCAACTCTTTCTCGCACAAAGTGGAAGTCAATCTCTATGTGTTTTGTCCTCGCATGAAACACTGGATTTGCAGACAAATACGTTGCTCCCAAATTATCACACCATAAGCACGAGATATGATTTTTCTTCACCCCCAACTCATTAAGAAGTGACTCAACCCAGATAATTTCAGCAGTTGCATTTGCCAAGGACTTGTATTCTGCTTCTGTGCTTGAACGTGACACAGTGGCTTGCTTTCTAGCACTCCAGGAAATAAGATTAGATCCAAACAATACTGCAAAACCTCCAGTTGATCTTCTATCATCACTGCAGCCTGCCCAGTCAGCATCAGAGAATGCACTAATAAGAGAGGAATTAGACCGTTTGAAATGAAGTCCTATTCCCATAGTATGCTTCACATATCTCACAATTCTCTTGACAACTGCCCAATGTGCAGATGTGGGTGCATGTAGGTATTGGCAGACCTTATTAACAGCAAACGAATATCTGGACGTGTGAGAGTTAGATATTGCAACGCTCCTACAGTACTCCTATACCTTGTGCTCTCCTCCTCTTGAAGTGGCTCACCTTCATATGCAGAAAGCTTTTCTAAGGAAGATAAATGTGTGGGCACTGGCTTACAATTCTTCATTCCCATGCGAGACAGAAGCTCGTTTACATATTTTTCCTGATTTAACACAATGCCATCTTGAGTTTTCTTGACTTCAATGCCTAGGAAAAAATGCAAGTCATCTAGATCCTTCAAGGCAAACTCTGAGCTCAAATCATGTAACAAAGCATTAGTAGCATTTTGTGAAGAACTTGTAACTATGATATCATCCACATATATGAGCACAAAAATGACTACTCCTGCCTTGTTATAAATAAACAAGGACGTATCAGCCTTGGAAGCAATAAAGCCAAGATATTTCAGTTGTAAGCTCAGTCTGGAATACCATGCTCTGGGTGCTTGCTTTAAACCATAGAGTGCCTTATCAAGCTTGCAAATATAATGTGGTAATTTCTTACTCTCATACCCAGGTGGCTGTCTCATAAACACTTCCTCTTCTAGAACACCATGCAAAAACGCGTTCTGTACATCTAGCTGCCTTAGGCTCCATCCTCTGGACACAGCAATAGCCAACACAAGTCTGATAGTTGCAGCTTTCACAACAGGACTAAATGTGTCCTCATAGTCAATGCCATAACGTTGCTTAAAGCCTTTTGCAACTAGACGTGCCTTATACCTGTCAATGGAGCCATCTGCCCTTTTTTAATTTTATACACCCATTTACAGTCAATGATATTTTTACCTTTCTGGTTTGGTACAAGATGCCAGGTTTTTTCCTCTTGAGTGCAAAATATTCCTCATCCATCGCCTTTTTCCACTTAGGATCATCAAGTGCACTATTCAATGTTGTTGGTTCTCCTGAAATACACAACATCCCATATGGTATAGTTCCATCTTTTCTTATTTTAGGGTTCCGTATACCTTTCTGTAGCCGAGTCATAACTCGCGAAGAAATTTCTGGCTGAACCACTGGAATGCTTGCCACAGAGGATCCGGGCGAATCTGCACACGCTGACACAGCAGGCGAATCTGTCGCCATATGCGCAGGAGATCCCGCGGCCATCGGTGTGGCCGCTGCGCCTGCAGACACACGGGTGTCACCCGTTCGACCTGGCGCAGGGGATCCGCTGCCCGACCGCACCTGGGCGCGCGCGCGTGATGAGGGGGATCCGGCCCCGCTGCTGGTCCCGCCTATAGGCGACGTGGACGCGCGGGAGTGGCCCTCCCTGGAATCTGGAGTGGAGCCGGCTGGAGCGCGATCCGATGACGATCTTCCCGCGCGATCCGAGGCCTGCGCGCGCACAGGAGTGTCAGGTGCCGCCGGATCTCCTTCGTTATCTTTGCCGGGTTCGTCCTCTTCCTCAGCATGCAATATTGGATCAAATTGAGCCATATCTTCGAAATTTTGATCATTTTGAGCACCGTTTTCTCCAGAAATCTGCACAGGCATAAGAGAAGAACCAGTACCAGCAAAAACATCATCACATTGATTAGTACAATTGTTGTTGCCCCCATGATCAAAAGACCGAAGATGTGGAGGAAGGAGGATTTCTTTACGGAGAAGTGCACCGGCATTTGGATGAAGAGATGCAAAGGGAAACACAGACTCATCAAAGACAACATCTCTGGATATGTAGACCCGACCAGTGGGAACATCAAGGCATTTGACCCCTTTATGCATGGGGCTATAACCTAAGAAGACACATTTTTTTCGAGCGGAAAGCGAGTTTACGTGTGTTGTAGGGTCGAAGATTGGGTCAACATGCACAACCAAAGATGCGAAGAGATGTGTAGTTAGGTGTGACACCTAGGAGTCGTGTAATGGGTGTTTCAAATTTGATGACTTTGCTTGGAAGCAAGTTGATAAGATATGTGGCAGTTAAAAAGGCTTCATCCCAAAATTTGAGTGGTATGGACGCATTTGCTAATAATGCAAGTCCCATATCAACTATGTGACGGTGCTTTCTTTCGGCATACCCGTTTTGTTGGTGAGCATGAGGACAAGAGACATGATGGGATATGCCAAGTTTTTGAAAGAAAGAGTTCAATTTTTCATACTCACCACCCCAGTCACTTTGCATAGCAATGATCTTGGAGTTCAGTTTGCGTTCAACAAGATTTTGGAAACTAATAAAAACTTGGAATACATCAGATCTTTTCTTCAGTAAATAAATCCAAGTAAATTTACTATAGTCATCAATAAAGCTTACATAATAGGAAAATCTACCAACTGAAGTAGGAGCTGGCCCCCATACATCTAAAAAGATAAGTTGTAGTGGGGCAGTAGACACACTAGTAGAAATAGGGTAAGGTAATTGATGACTTTTTGCTTGTTGACACGGATCACAAACTGACTCAACACTAGGCTCATAAGCGAGTTTATTTTTGCTAAGAACATATTTAACTATGACTGAAGATGGATGACCCAAGCGACTATGCCACCTTGAGGATGAAAGCTTGGTGACAATATTTGCTTGTTTATTGGACCATGAAGGTGATGATGATAATATGAGTGGGTAGAGGCCTCCCACGCACCATCCTCTAAGAATGATTCTCCTTTTTCTCAAGTCCTTAACCAAGAAAAAATAAGGATGGAACTCTATAAGAACATTGTTATCAAGAGTGAATCGATGAACATAAATAAGATTTTTTGATGTTTGAGGAACATGCAAGACATTTGCCAGATGTAAATTTTTCACAGGGTTTTCAACAATTGAACTACCAATGTGTGTGATATCCATACCAGAACCGCTTGCCGTGCGAATTTGATCGCCTCCATTATACTTCTCCCGCATCGTCAACTTGTCAAGTTCACCTGTGATGTGGTTTGTTGCTGCACTGTCGGCATACCAATTTGTGTCCACGCCATATGAGGCGGCATGTACCTCCTTTTCTTCTGGCTCGTTCTCCTCATAGCGCCACCAGAAGACCCGTGCACCTCCTGGATGATGCTTGTAGCATACTTGGCACTCAGGATAATCATGCTGCTGGTCACGCACCTGGTGCTGCTGTTGCTGCTGTCGAGGACGCCCTCTGAAGCCGTTGCCACCGTTGGAGGAAGGGGGTTGGCGGTCACCGCGGTCACCACGGCCACGCCCTCGTCCTCCTCGCCCACGGGATCTGCCGCGGGACTGTTCGCGGCCTCTGTAGACCGCGTTGGCAGATGTGTGAAATCCGCCTGAAGAAGACCTAGCATCTCCATCCTTTGATCAAAGGCAGAGATTTGGGCAAAGAGATCATCAGCGGTGATGGTGTTCTTGACAGCGCCGATCGCCGCCACCACGGAGTCGTAGTCGCGGTCCAGCCCGGCCAAGATGTAGTCCACCATCTCCGGATCAGAGACGGGACGACCGGCAGCAGCTAGTTCATCCCCGAGGCTTTTCATCTTCGCCATGTACGCCAAGCTTGACATGCTGCCCTTCTTGGTGTTGGTGATGGCGATCCTCAGATTGGTAATCCGGGATTGTGAGTGTGAGGCGAAGAGGTTTGTCACCGTCGTCCAAAGCTCGAAGGTGGAGTCCTTCCCGACGACCTGCGCAAGAATTTTTGGCGACATGGAATTGAGGAGATAGGACAGGACTTGCTGGTCTTTGGCGATCCAGGGCCCGTACAACGGATTCAGCTCTAGGGCCGTGGTCTTGTCAGCCTTTGTGACCTCCACCATCCTGGGCGGAGCAGCATTTGTGTTGTCGAAGAGTCCGATCACCTGCGCTCCTCGCAGGGCTGGTAGCACCTGAGTCTTCCAGAGGATAAAGTTTCCTCGTGCGAGCTTCTCCGATGGCGGCGAACCGAGGTTGAGGGCGACACCGGCAGAGGAAGCCATGGAGACGATAGAATGCGGTTTCTGGGTTTTGATTTGTGGGGTATGTGGTTTTCTAGGGTTTTGGTTTGTGGCTAGATGTATAAGAAGAGGCGGCTCTGATGACCATGAAAGATAATGAGCGATCCCTTAACTCCCTCGATGAGGAGCGGGTCGTATATATTGAGATCGGGGCAAGCCTGCCTTGGCATACAAGGAAAGAGTTACAAGAGTTGGAGAAGGATACGAGAGGGGGAAAGTCGGTTGAGATTATACACGTTTTCTCTAACAAGCTCTAGAATGAACCAACATTGCTCCAAACAAAAGTAGGCAGGCATGCCAAGCCCACTGCTACATGGCAAGGACAATGACTCCTATTTAGGATCCACTTGTTATAATGGAACCAATCACATATTGGTGTCATATGTGCAAAGCTTGTAACTCCGAGAACAATGGCACATACGGAAGATATGTCTCCTGAGTGCTGGCTCCAAGAGTGAATATCTCTTGGACATGCCGACGATCCATATCGTAGGACATCAATATTTTATCCGACTCAAGAGTGTAGAAGATCATGTTACAGTCTGGATGAACTGCAACCCACTCAAACTCCTCCGCGAGATTAATAGAATTATTCCATCCAGGTTCATATAAACCACTTGGCCATCCAAGTATATATGGAGCTTCAGCGGTATGCTTCAATGTCCATCGTTGCCTGTCGTAGTCCTCAAGAACATAAGCCACTAGTCGAACCACCTTGTCTTCATGGTCTGCCTCAAAATTGGCATAATGCAAACGTCCTTGGGACAGCTGAATGAAACCGAACTCCTGCTCGCCAGGGACAGGGACAGGTATGTTTCGGCAAGCTTTCCCCCCGGTGTCCACCACGGCTATAGAAGCCTTGTTGGTGAGATAATGCATACAACCGTTGAAGAAGACAGCTGGCAACCTATGGGGAAAGCTAAAATCATTGTCCACTTCATTCTCCTCACGAACCCATCCTCCTGTTTCAGATGAATACACCTCACCAATGACCATGGGGGCTAAGTGCCCATAGTCTCTGAAGAACTCAAACACGTAGAAGTGGGGTGACACGGTTGGATTAAAACCCAGACGTGAACACTGCCATTTGCCCGGTAGTGCAACCCACTCCTTTGTGGCGGGATTACACACAAAGTGATGGTAATCTGTCAAATCCCATTCCCCGGTACTAAGTTGGGTTCCGTAACACCTGCAGAGAAGAAGGCCATTGCAGCTGTCCAAGAGAAAAATGCGTTTGTGGACTGGCAGGAAGTCAAGCAAAGGGGAGACCAACGGGAGGCCTCTGCCAGTGCCAGAGACATTGGTGAAGCGGGGAACTGACCATGGCACAGTTTCACTATCGTGCTTCGTGAAGAAGCCAGCCAGGGTCTGGGGAAGCTTCATACGGTTCACGGGGTGCGAGATGAGGTCCCGCCATGTCGTGGACACGCACTTGAAGCGGCAGACCGATCTGGCAGGGAGGCGAGAGAGGATCTCAACGATGAGGTCATCGGTGAGGTTAGCTACCGGGCACCTCCGTCTCTTGGACCTTCTCCCCTTAACCATCCCGAGCAACAAGTTCTGAGAAATGCAAATGGAGAGAGTCGAAGATACAAGTGAGGACGACGAAAGGGAAGAAGGGATCACATGGAGCGAACAAAGTGGACGCCTATGCTCGACAGTCGACAGGAAAGTCAACTCGATCAGCTGATTGCTTCTTGCTTACATTGCTGGTCCATGACACTTTGGTGCATCATTATTTGAGCGATGCCTGTACCTTCCTATACACGATTTGAGCACCAATATGATAACATGCCTATGTGTGCTATGCTGAAAAAACAAATGGAGTTTGCAGACAAAAAAAATGGGGGCAATAATGGAGACCAAGAGCATTGATATGATGAGATGCCACGGTGGAGTAGGAAAAAAAACTATTTCACGGGTCAGCTCTTTCAAACAAATAGTACAGTTTGCTTTCAGACCCAAATGAAATGTTCATTTTAGAAAAAGGAAGACCTGATGAAATCTGAATGCTAAGATTGAGGTGGTAAGCTACAAATAGTAGCGTTAAATTTGGACCACATCCCTGTAAATGTCTATGTTGATCATCCCTGTTCAGTTTTTCACCACGGAGGTTCCCACTGAGTTTTTTTTTTGAGGATAAAGGGAGCCTTGCATTTCATTTATCCAGGTATACAGTCGGACATGATTACATGTTTCACACTATGTGGCACATCAGCTAAGAAAAGGAAATCACCTTGGATTCTAGCATACGTAGCTAACTCATGTGCGGCCACATTGCACTCTCTATAAGTTTTGGTCACATTACAAGACTCAAAACCTCTCATCAATCTCTTTGACTCCTCATAGCTTGCCCACCACCTGGTTCTGCTAATGTTGCCGTCGGAAACTGCAGACACCACGGCAGAGCAGTCAGATTCCACCAAAATATGGTTTAGTGACAAATTGCTAGCTTGTCTTAGTCCAAAGGACAGTGCCCAAGCTTCAGATTCCTCCGCATCCGTGCAACCCTGAAAACGACAGCCTGCCGAGAATAAAACATCACCCAAACTGTCTCTACCAATGGCACCCACAGCAGTTAAACCCAAGGAGGGTATGAAGGACGCATCAACGTTGATTTTAATGTACTTCTCAGGAGGTTTTGTCCAGCCAGTGTCAGGTCGAGGGATACTAGGAGCTGGCACTGAAATTTCATGCAGTTCCCACTGAGTTTATACTAGCTTGATTCCTTCCGGTTGAATATAGGTGTGGGTACTGCATGTCCTCATGATATGCAGTGGCAAAAGGTCAAAAACTAAAGACCTGGAGTTCTTAGGCTATCGATGTCCTTCTGAAATTCGAGAAAAATTAAGGTCCGCGAGAAGGGAGTACAAACGAAAAATTCTTACCTAGTGCTATATCCTGTGTCAGCACATCGTTGTGTTTACTCTGATGAATTAGTGTTTGCCTATAACTGAAGGTAATAAAAGAAGAATTGGAAATTGGACTGAATTGAATACATAGTCTAGTTGTCCATACGCCATGCCCTGTACTCAGGCTGGTCATAGTGGGAGTAACATAGGTAGTAACATAGATGCCACATAAGCAAAAATGTTGATGTGGCAAGTAGTTAATGAGGAGAGAGGCAAATAGAGTAACATAATATGTTACCATCACATAGCGTTTTTCAATGCAAAATGAGTCTACAAGACAATAAATGAACATGTGTATGTTATTACACATATGACACTTCCCACTATAAGGGTAGTAACATAGAGTAGTAACATATGTATGTTACTACTCTAAGTTACTCCCCATTATGACCAGCCTCAATAACAGCTTGCTTCCACCGAATAATATACTACATCCGTGTCTAGACAAATCTAAGACAGACAATTTGGGACGGAAGTTGTACTCTTGATTGTTGCAACCAACTGCAACTACAACTTGTACCTGCCGTTGGGTACTGTCATCACAAAACTAAAAAGGACCTGACAGTCTGACTCGCACTTGTTTTAGAACAACAAGGTTAGGAAGGCATCTTCGCTGTTTCAATATTGTTCAAAGTCTCAACGAGATAGCTTGATACCAAAACGGTCAAGGAGATTGCGTTTTTAGCCGGTTCAGTGTGGAGGGGTTGCCAATGCATGCGGGAAGTACAGTAACTCTGAATTTGAGTTGATTGAATGATTGAACACCTACTTACTGACTGAAGAAGAAGAAAAATCTATGCGGCTAGGCGCACCCGTCGAGGAGATGGTACCTTGCGCGCCTCGACGGACTGGTCCTCCGGTCCCGCCGACACTCGCTTGCAAAGTACTCCCTGCGTTCTAAATTACTTGTCGCAGGTATGAATGTATGTAGATATATTTTAATTTTAGATATATCCATTTCTGCGACGAGTAATTTGAAACAGAGGGAGTACACCGCATCAGCTCGCCGCGGAGTTTCGCCTCTCCATCGTTCTCAGCCGAACTTGCCGCAGCACCAAGCTCCAGACGGGCCTCGAGCCTCGGGACTCGGCCGTCTCACCGGCATCACACCGCCGCGCCCAGAAGCAGATTCGCGCCGCCCCTGCTCACCCCGCGCCGGTCTCGCTCTGCCCTCGTGTGGGCTCCGTCAGCTTCAACATTCCACCTGCGCAGAGGGTCCTATCTGACGCTAAATGCATCAGATAGTCAACGCCCAGCGGCACAGGTAGGCCGGCCCATCAGCTAGCAATGTAGCGAAGATTCATTATAGCGTGCAGTGTTCTGTTTTCCCTGTTTTTTCTGTTTTCTTATTTTGGTTTCTTCTTTTTCTTCTTTTATTTCGTAAAAAAAATCACAAATTGAAAATTTCCGAAAATTGTTCAGATTTCTAAAAAAATTGGTAAAGAAATGTTCAGAAATTTTCATTATTTGTTCGTCTATCTAAAACATGTTCTTTTTTGCGGAAAAAAGTTCCTATCTAAAAAACAAATGTTCAAATTTTGATTAGGATTTTACAAATTGTTCCAACTTTAAAAAATAAATCATTTTATAAACTTGAAGAAATTTTGCACACACACACACACATTTTCTCAAAATAGCGAACAGTTTTTCGAAAAACATAAAAAAATCAATAAAATAAACATTTTAATTAAGCATTTATTCAAATGTTTGAACATTATTCGAAAAACATGAAAAATCCCAGAAAAACTTTTGAAAGCGGAAAGTTTTTGTGAACAAATTTTGAGAACAAAGATATTTATGGAAATTCCAAACAGTGTTTGACATTCCAAAAAAATTTATATTTTATGATAGTTTTTGAAAAATCCAACCATTTACGAAAAGGGGAACTTTTCAAAAAGGATAAAAACAAGTAACACAAAAAACAGTGAGAATTTTTTGAATTTTCTGATTTTTTTGGAGATGCAAACAATTTTGAATCTTTGAACATTTATTGAGAAACAGGGACATATTTTGAATTTGAGATTTTTGAACGTTTTTTGAAATACAGAATCATTTTTGGGAAAAAACAAGAATATTTGTTGAAATTTATAAAAAAAATAAAAGGGAAAAATATAAAACAACAAAACAACAAAAATAAAACGGTCGCATTGTTAAAATTAATACAACTCCCCCTAAAAAAACCTCATCCTCTAGGTGGGAAATTTTACAACACCCTCTATACCATAAAACCTCATCCTCGCCACCGCCACCACCATCCACGGTCGATTCCCAGCCATCCTCACCGCCACCGACCAGCGCTCCACCACGGTGGCGGCTTGGAGGTCACACCCCCCCTGCCTTACCGGGAACAGCCCGATGTCCTCTTCCCTAGCCCACGGCGGCCGCGCGTCGGAGCTCGAGGCAGACCAGCCTACAACGCGCACGCATCAGAGCTCGAGCAGGACCAGCATGCAGCTGCACGCGAAGCTCAATTTTTGAGCAGGACCGGTGCATTGGTCGCGGCCGACGTGAACCTGGGGGCGGCCTCGATGGACCAGCTCCTCTGCCCCGGCTGCATCGAGCCGAATCGATTTGCTGCATTGAGCGGACTTGAGCAGAACCAGGGGCTGGCCTCAATTATAATTCAATTTTTTTTAGAGTGCTTTATGCTACTCTTTAGGGATCATGTTGTAATTTTTTACAGGATCTGTTCTGCTGCAGCACACATCATACCGTAAAGACCCACCAAAACATTTTGCAATATACCCTAAAACGATTTTACTGTGCGAATTTTTAGGGCATATTTTAGGGCATATGCTATATGCTATAGTTGCTCCTGGGCAACCTCGCGGCGTCGGAACCGCCGTGGCCTCTACGAAACCTACACCACAAGTCCCCTCTACGAAACCTACACCACAAGTCCACGAGCATATCTCACCCCGACGCGGCAGCCAAGTTTCCGATCCCTGCAAAACTCGGGCCACAAACGAACCGACCCCCCACACGCGCAGGGGCTCCCTCGGCGAGCGCGGGCACCGCACGAATCCCAAAGCAGCCCGTAACCCTAGCCGACATGGCCGGCGGCAAGCGCCGCTACAAGCGCAACCCCACCGCCGGCGGGCCCCGTCACAGCGCCGGAGCCGGGCGCCGCCGCTCGCTCCCGGAGCTCCCTTCCTTCGTCTCCCCCACCTCCGTCGCCGCCGCGTTCGGCCCTTCCTCCTCGGGCGGCCGAGGGCGCGGCCGAGGCGGCCGGCGCGGCGCCGCGGCGGAACCCGCCAACGCCGTCCCCTTCAGCTACACCGCCGCCCTTCGCCCGTGCCCCGCCTCCGCCGGCGGGGCCACGCGGGCGCTGGAGGTGGCCATAGACACCGGCTCCTGCGCCGATCCGGCCGCCTCCGCGTCGATGTACTCGTACGAAGTGGTCGGAGGGATCGGGCTTGGGTTCCACGGCGACGAGGAGGCGGAGGGCCAGGAGGAGGCCGGTGAGGGCGCGCCGCATCTTGGATTGGGATTCCACGGTCGTATCGAGGAAGAGATGGACGCGGAGGTTGAGGAATTGGAGGAGGTCTCCTTCGTGACGCCGAGGCAGGCTAAAGGCAAAGGGAGGCAGAATGGTGGATTTATCTCCATCGGGGGAGTCAGGATCTACAGCGAGGATACCTCATCACCGGAATCAGAGGGGATGGGCGACTCCGATGAGGAATCAGATTCCGATTACGAGGTGAGAGATCGCAATGCCGATGTTGATAGCGATGAGGAAGATAGTGATGATGATAAGGGGGATCCGGAGTCTGATGAGGACGGTTCGGGGTCAGACTCCGAGGAGGGTCTCAGCATTGGGGACTCATCGGTTGATGATGAGATTGTTGCCGATTACATGGAGGGGATTGGTGGCAGCGAGGAGCTATTGAGCAGTAGGTGGTTGAATGGCATGAAATTGGTTGATTCAGATGATGATGAGATGGATACAGACGATGATGAGGACGGGTTCCTAAAGAAGGGCAAGGAAAAGCTTGAGGGTTATGCACTAATGCGTGCATCTGAGCAGTATGGGATGAAGATGCCCAACTCGGCTGAAAGGCGGAAGGGAAGGAGCTCTAATGGCAGGGATTGTGACAGGGGCCTGGCTAGTATACAAGTTATGGGGCTGGAGGATGTGATGATGGTAAAGGATGCAAGGATGGCAAATCGGTCAAGTAAGGGTTCGAAGGCTTCATCGTCCTCACAGCTCTCCAGGTCCTGGCCCGATGCGGCCAGGAAGAGCAAGAAATATCAGAGGGTCCCAGGTATAAAGCCTTCCATGTTTTGTGCTATTTTTCTTTGTGGTGTGAAGTAAGATTGTTAGGTTGAATTTGATAGTTAATGTGGAAAAACAAAGTAACTCTGCATGCCATGCGTTTAGACTTTGTCTGCAAGTGAGAATCAGTACTCAGTGAATTGGAAATTTTGACCTTACAAATATCTTTTTATTGTTAATTCTGTAGTTTTTGGCTATCTATTTCGGTATAGAAGAGTTGAAGACTATATTTCAGTATGGATTGAATCTATATTTAGTTTGTATATGGAAGCTAGCTTTGAACTTTATTACATACTCCTCTAGCTCCTAGTTGTAAAAAGGTGGTATGCTCATATAAACCGCAATACATAGGTTACGTGTTGGGAAACCCGCCTATGCTTTGAACCAACAGTCACTAGGCTGCCCGTAATGGGAGTATCATAGGTAGTATCATGCATGCCAACTAAGCAATTTTGATGAAGTGGCATAAAATTAAATGAAGAAAGAGAGGCTTGAGTATCATATCATAATACCGTATCATATTAAATGATGTGCTACTTTGTGTCATGCATGGCAATAAATGTAGTCTTTTATGATACCAACATATGATACTATGCATTAGACAGAGGTAGACTAGTATCATATGCATGATACTAGTATATGATATTCCCCATTACAACCAGCCTAAAAGACTTGTTTATTCATCTTTTTATTACTACCTCCGTCTCGGTGATTAAGTCATTCGCGTAGTTCTAGGTTGACAATTTAACTATCTAAATATGTATTATATGTGACAAAAAATATATATTTAGAAACTACATCGATGTAGAAATCTAGTGATATACTTTTCATGACATATAACACATATATAATTTCTCAAATCGATGAGCTAGAGCTACGCAAATGACTTATTCACCTAGACAGAGGTAGTACTATATTTATGTGTGTCTGTCTCCTCGTGTGTTTGGATTTTTTTTCTGGATTTTTTTGTACAAAGTCATAATATTTGGCTTATGCGATTTAGGTGAAAAAAAGAAGCACAAGAAGGAACACATTGCAAAGAAACGCCGTCAACGGATGCTAAGTAGAGGAGTTGACTTGGAGCAAATCAATACTGTGAGTCATATAATTAGGCTTTTTTACGGAACTTGGTTATTCTGAAGATCTTTGCAAATTTTATCTGTTTGCTTGTTTCTAAAGCATCATAACTGGAATATTCGTGTTATAGTTTGCTATTGCCACCCAGTTCAAGATCAGTTATATGAGCATTTTATGAATTTATATGATACTCCCTCCGCCCCGAATTAGTTGTCTTAGACTTGTCTAGATATGGATGTATCTAACACTAAAACATGTCTAGATACATCCGCATCTAGACAAATTTAAAACAACTAAATTGGGACGCAGGTAATATAATAGACAATGCTGCTTTATATCAAGTTGCAGAATAGGAGAAAAAAATGGCTCTTGTTGAAACTTAAAACGTCTGTGGTGAAATGCATGAAAGGAGTGCGATATTTACTACTAGTTCTATCAAATCATTTTCATTTTGAGCGCACTCGTGTACATTGGTCATTCATGTAATTTCATCTTCACATTTGTTTAGAATATACGTGATAATAGTGATGCAGGTGCTGATGACGGTTGTATGTTTCTTGTTTCACTCTTGCTCTGTTATGTCATTATGTAGCTTTTCGAATGTTTTCAACCTGCCCATATTAACTTTGAGCTATCTTGTTTACTGAAACTGGATTACTTCTCTTTCTGATATGCAGAAACTGAGGAAGATGGTTGTCAATCAACTTGATATGTTGTGCTTTCAGCCAATGCACTCTCGGGACTGTTCTCAGGTATGGGTGCCATTCAGTTGCTGGGTTGCTTCTTGAAGCAAAATTGTGACATTATTAAAATATATCTCAAATCAACTTATGTGTGTGATCTCTACAGAAGTGCTACTTTTTTTATCCACATTGACAACAAACTGTATATGCCATTGCTTGGTAGACTGTAATCAACTTACTTGCACTATGAAGCAATTAAAGGGGAATTTAGATAGGACATAATGAAACACTAATACACTGGTGCTACATAAATTAATCAATTTATCATCCTTTTGTGCCCACATGGATTACTTATTATGTTCTTCCTTAATGTTTGTAGGTACAACGCCTCGCATCTATTTATCAATTGAAAAGTGGGTGTCAAGGTTCAGGCAATAAAAGGTAATGCTAAAGTGGAATATGAGCTTTATGCTTTCCATCAAGTAAATTATCACAGTAATAGCACTTCATGTCATCTTGAATCATGATGCATCTGGCTCGTACTTTCATAATAATACATGTTCCCATCTCTTGGATGCTGAATATTGTTAAGCTAAATATCCTTGGGATATGGTTCTGTTGCAGCTCAGTAAGAAAAACACCAAATTGCAGATACCATTTATGTGTGTTCGTGTCTGGTTGGAGTGCCAAAGATCTTTGCATCATTCATCGCCACCATGCCGCCAAGTGGGCATGGAATCAATTGTTTTATTATCTTTTACTTTCCAATGCCTGTGCAACTTTGGCAGAAATTACTGGTGTAGATTCATACGTATTTATTGCAGTATGTTATAATCTTGAGGCAGAAGGTGCATTACCTCTCCTGCAATTATCCATAAGTCCTATTGTGGACAATGATAAAGGGATTAGTGGCTCACCAACCACTGTTCTGTATTGCATGGGCATTGATACGAGACGTATGCCACTGACCTGCACGCTGATCGTGCTCAGTGTGAATACTGTCTAATAAGACAAATGCGTAAGCGATGTGTCCGTGAATATAGCAACTACCATAACACGGTTATCTTACCGTAATGGTTATGGGACAGTTTGCTGCAGAATATTGCACCTCCCATTCACAAGCATGTGTTGCAATGCACCTTTTTTTTCTGTGCTTTTCATGTTTAGTCACTTTGTTGATTTCCTTGGTTTTGTTGTTGTTTTATATATCACTTGCGGAAATGTGATTAGATAAGTGTGGAAACATGTTAAATGGTTAAGACCAGAAATGCTGCTTCCTTTTGTCACTACCACATGACCAGGTAAAATTAGTATTACATGTGGTAGCGCATTATGTTTAATATTTACTCCAGTGGTTAAGTCAAGTAAATAGAAAACATTACTCCACCTCTCCATCATTTTACCCTCGATATCATTGAATAGAAAATGCATCGCATGTGCCTACCCGGCTACCCCGGCGTGGCTGCGGGAATTGGTTGCAATATGTAGTGTTAGAATCACTAGCTCTCTAGCTGCTGCCCAGGACTCTCTAAAGAGATGTGCTTCTCACACGCAATGAGCTACCATTAGTGGGAAGCTTTATTAGATATCTCAATTGCTACAAGCTTGCATTTTACATATGGGGTGCTTGCTTCTTATATAGGCTGTAGGGGTGATGCTACAGTAGCTGACCTCCACAGCTCACAGCCTAGCTGTGTGCTCTAGTTATATAGGATTTGTGTCAAATGTTGTTAAAATATTGTTGTTATTCGGTACCAAGTAATCCTGCCTTACAGGTTTGTTACGGTGACATTAACTGGACAGTCTTCGATGCCATCTGCAGATGGTCAAGTTCGACTTGATAAGGTAGGTAGTCTTTATGTTTGCATTGCTGGGACTATAGTCTGTGATATTTCTCTTGTTTCTCAGCTATCTCTTTGCTAATTATGGCTTGTTCACTGATTCCAGCTTTTGGGGACTGAGCCTGAGGACTATAGTGTCAACTGGAACAGCTCCAAAGGTCCAGCAAGAGCGAAGGGTCTTTCAGCTCCAGGGAAATTGGCGAGGCACAGCGATTCTTGTGGGAAGAACGTTCCAACGAAAAAGGTCTCATTTGCGGAGCGTCCTGTATCTTTTGTGTCTTCTGGCACTATGGCGGAAACTGTTACCGAGGCAGTAGCAGTTGGCTCAACTTCTGGCGATGTGTCATGTGAGAAGGTTGTTGGAAGCGACTCCAAGCTGGGCACCTTTGAGACGCACACCAAGGGCTTTGGTTCCAAAATGATGGCGAAGATGGGATTCATCGAGGGCACTGGCCTTGGCAAAGATGGCCAAGGCATATTGCAGCCTGTCCAAGCAATTCAGCGTCCCAAATCTCTTGGGTTGGGTGTAGAATTTGACAGCGAATTGGAGGCAGCCAAAGCAAGGTCAGAGCCACCGGCCAAAGCAAGGCCAGAGCCACCGGCTAATGCAAGGCGAGAACTGAGTAGAACCAGGTCAGAACCGAGGCGCAACACACGGCCACTGGAGATGTACGACTGCGGCACTTTTGAGAGGCATACAAAGGGTTTTGGATCCAAAATGATGGTGAAGATGGGGTTTGTACCTGGTTCTGGCCTGGGGAAGGATGGCCAGGGCATTGTCAACCCCTTGACCGCGGTAAGACGACCGAAATCGCGGGGGCTGGGAGCTACCGACAAGTACTAACATGTTGCGACATCAAGTTTGCTTTTTATTTATGTTCCTGTCATGTACGTACTTGTTGCCTCTTGGATCACCTAGGTGTGTGTATGCAGGGAGAGCACAGCCTGTTGTCTGCGGCAATAGCAGGCTTCAGGGTTTCGATGCCCCTTTGCAGTTCAAGTAGCCATAGGATTTCCCTTACTTACATTGCAACAAGACATTACTGCTGTTGTTTATCATGTTGATTTCGCAATCCTCTTATCAAGCATTCTGATTCAGCTGTGCTATACAACTTTTCTCTTACCAGCCGGTGTCTACTTTATTCTTTTTTGAAACAGAAGCCAGCGAGGGTCTACTATACTCGAGCAATCGAACGCTTTGCTGTGACAAATATTAATATGCAATTCCTTTTTAGAGTTTCTGGTTGCAATGTGCATATAAACTGACAATATATATACCATAGTAAATAGAGCAGCGTTGCAATTGTTCCTATGAACTGCATAGTTGAGACTTTCATCGAGGCCAGGAGAGTTACAGGACCATTCTTACAACCAGGACGATGTATGAAAGGTGTAACCATGTCCTAGCATGCTCACAAACTGCATCCCTGAAAAAAAAAGTTGCTCACGGACTGCACACGGAGTGAATTTCGTTAGGCTAGAAGTAGCTGCACTGAGAACAAAGAATTTCGTTACAGGACCATTCTTACAGGCCGATGTATGGAATGTTGCTCACAAACTGCGCCCTGGATTGAATTTTGTTATAGGTATATAAAAGCAACAAACAAAGAGCGCGAACATCTGTTGGTCTCTTGGTAAACAACTGAACGATTTGACTTGACGATCTATATACACTCAACAAATAAAAAAAATTCAATTGTGCCGCAAGACTGATAAAAAGATGAACATTGAAACATTGATGTATCGTGCTAAATATTTGGGCGGTACTGGGCGCCGGTCGATCCCTGTGCGTCCGATTTGGCATCTCCCAGCCATCAGATCTGGTCAACGCCAGCGTCCCCCGTCCTCTCTTCGTCCCTAACCTCTTGCATCCCCATTATTTTTCCTTAAATCATATCAACGAGCAGGGGAGAGAAAAAAGAATGGAGTCACTAGACCCAGCACGACTCCATCGGGTGTTCCCTCGCGAGGCGTGGGCGGCCACGTTCATCGCCGGTGTGTAGTGCCCTCTCTCGCTTGCCATCGTCCATTCCCGCATGGCTGCGTGCCAATCCGGCCCAAAAAAGTGCTACAAAACAAGATGTTGGAACCGGCAGGTGCATTTGCTGGAACCGGCGACTAGGAGTGTTACAACCAGCGACACAATTTGCTAGAGCCGACGGCCACATTTGCAGGAGCCGGTGACCGCATATGTTGGCACCGACGAAACTAAAAACTGGAAACATCGTTCTCAAAAGCTACTACCGGCAAAATAAAATGCTACAAGCGATGAATAAAAAAAATGCTACTATCAAAAAGGGAATTGTTGCGATTGGCGAAACCAAAAGCTGGAACCAGTGAGGGGAAAAGCTACTACTGGCGGAAAAAAATGCTAGAACCGGCGAATCAGATTGGTGCTAGAGGATGAAATTGCTGTGACCCGCAAAATAAAAAGCTGGAACTGACAAATTAAAAAGTTGCAACCGGTTAACTCGAAAAAAACGTAGCAGGAGGACGGCAACATAGCAAAAAGATGATGTTGCAACCGCATGGATGTGCGAGCGTCGTCACCTCGAGCTCGCAGGGGAGCGCGCGGAGAAGACCGAAGGTGCGAGACCATGGCAGCGAGGCAAAAGATGCTAGGAGAGGAGGGAGTGAGAGACATCGCCAAAAAGGAGACAAAATCCATGGCGTGGTGAAAAGCGGCGCCGACCAGCAGCAAGAGCATCAGATGGACAGAGGAAGGAGACGCCTTGTGTAGCTAAGAATGAAGAGCTGGTCCGATTGAGAAGATAAGGCTTGGGAAGCGCATGCGGTGGTGGGCCTGACGAAACACTCGTGGGTGCAACGGGGAGTGTCTGATTTTGGTCGACCTAACGATGCACGCGCGACCGGCCCAGCGCTCGTCCGGTCGGCTGCCGTAAAACGTTTCTTTAAATATATTTTTTCCACGAATACGCAAGCTGCGTATCTTTGTATTGATAGAAGGAAAAAGTAGCATGAGAATACAACGCTTACAGGGCCATGTACACAGGAGGCATGGTGCACAAGCGTTGAAGCAAATTTGAAATCAGGGGTCTGCTCAGCCCTAAAGTCTAACCTAGTAGCTACTTGCCAGGGATGATGTTAAGTAGCCCTTTGGCGCCTGCCTTTACCCATAGGCACGCCTCATCCTTGATGGTGTCGGAGACGAGGGTGAGTGAGGGAGTGGCTCGGTCGAAGATGCACGCATTGCGGTGTTTCCAGAGCAACCATGTCGTGGACGCTCTCATGCTCCACCGTGCTCCTCGCTCCCACGCCGGCGGCCACTCTGGCCTCGGCGTCCACCGCCCCCGGCGTCGGCCACTCCGACCGCGCCGCCCAGCTCGCCGTCATGGCTCCCTCCCCTCCCCCCCCCCGCCGTCGGGCGCTCCCGCAAGGATCGCTGGCTCGAGTCCAGCCCCTCCGCCGAGGGACCCCCACTCTCCTACCGCCAGGCCCTGTGCCGCCCTCCGGCTCCGGGGCCCCGCGGCTCGTCTTCCCCGTCGGCGACGCGGCCCTCGTCCTCCC